TGGCCTGAGGGAGCAATTCCCTCCACTCAGTGCCCATGTCTGTCAATTGTTCAGGATTAAAGTTTTGAGCACTGTGGAGTGGGTCCACTCGATAACTGCCATCTTCCATATGAACTTCTGGAAGCCTGAGCCCAATGGCCACCTTGTAGCCCCATGCTATGACGAGTATCTTTAGGAAAATGTCTAAGACTTGCCAGCTGGGCTCCTATTGTTCTGTCACTCCCTCATATGATACCTAGTATGGCCATCTGAGTGGCCTACTTGCTGTCCCCTAAGCCACTTTGCTTGGCACAGCTTTTACCCTGTTGTGCCAGATGGCTGTCCTTATAGGTCCCACAAAGGTCAGCTTAGACAAGCCCCATTCTGGGCCAGCATCTCCCCTGAGGATGGCTCTTGGTTCCTCAGAGTAACCTCATGGTCTGTCTCTGGCATCTCTCATCAGTGGGATGTGGGTTACAGCTCATGTTGTCCTGGTCTCTCACACACCAGAAACGGCTGGCTTGCTGGGAACTAGACACTGAAAGAAACAATGAGAACACTGGCCTGCAAACTTCTCTAAGCAGGCAGTGTTTGCTTATGATCAAATTCCAACAGACTGGGAGGAATCAGGACAAACTCCAGCCAATGTATTGGTGGCAAGGGACAGGTTTGCTGAGTCACAGTTGCCCCACACCCAGAGCTGTTTGTTCTTGTTCCCTTTGGGATTAACCAGACATAGAACCTGCTCTCCTTGTTTTAGCTCAGTCCCTGCAACCGACAGTCTACCTGGCTTCAAGTCACTCAAGGGAGGTGAGGTAGGACTAAGGACAGTGGAGGCGGGAGGCAGCCGTTCTTCTCAGGGATGGGGGGGGGTGACCCTGCCTTTCCTGCTGGCTTCATGGCTCTCCCTGATCTCCTCTTAGGTAAGGAACATGAGAAGAACTAAAATCTAAAATGTGTGGGAGTGGGGGCAATTAGAGAGGTAGCTGAAAGTCTCTCATCTTTGCCACCCCCTCACATTGCCCAAGGATCATGACAGGGGAAGGAGCTACCTAAGGACATGTGGTGACTTAGGAGAATTAGGGCATGATTAAGATCTCCAGCCACAACTATAGGTCAGATAAGGGCAAAGAGCCCTGAGTACCAACTGGCCTATGGTCAGCTGAGGTTTGACCTCTTGTTTTATAAACCGAAACCACAGCCAAGGGTTGTTGTGGATGAGGGACCTACCTAGCTTCCCAAAGTAGAGTTCTGGGCTGTGACTGAGGATGAGCTGCCTTTCAGCTACTGGAATGAGATGGGGGGGTGTGTTAGGGAGGTTTGGGCTAAAAAATCTAACAAAAGGCCTCCTTCCTACACGAGTGACTCCACGAGTCACCAGGCTTTTGGGAGAATGCCAAGGTCATCATGACACAGCAAGAATCTTACCAGCCCAAGGGAGAAGTCAATTCTGAAATGACTCAAGAAGAGGGATGGACTTGGAGTGCCAGGTCACTCCTCATACAGGCCTGTCAGCAGGATGGACCTTGAGTACCCACAGTCTATGGCTATCACACAGGCTAGGTGGGAAAACTGATGTATAGAGATGAGCCCTGTAGTGAACCCATCTGCCCATGTGGACTCCCAGACCTATACCTTTTCTTCTGCATAAGGGGAAAAGCGTCACTTTCTAGCCTCACCAAGGTCTTATTGGGTGGGGGGAGGTGTCCTTTTAGGTTCACAGATCCTTCCCCCTACCAGTCCACAAGGAAAAGGTTTTCTAGAGTGGGGCAGTAAGGATTTCTGTTTCCTTCCTTGTTTGGGTGGGAGTCCTGAGAAGAGGAGTGGCTACAGTGAGGCAGCATAAGAATGCCCCTAGGTAGGAAGCTGGGTACATGGGTAAGACTGGGCAAGGACCTGGGGAGGAAGAAGGAGTAGAGGGCACTACTTGGATTCAACTTGTCCTGGTGTGTTCCAGTTTCCTAGGCTTGGGGCCTGGCAGCCACTGGATTCCTTTTAGTTTCTAGATCACACTGAGCTTGTTCCCAATTTAGAGGACAATTGCCCTCTAATCCTCAACCAGCCTTGCTTTCTAGGTCCACTTGGGACCTGTGTGCTGCAGGGGTCTTAGTACACAAGAGACCATTTGTGACTTCTGTCACATACAGCTGCCTAAAATCCTGTTGGTTTGCTTGCTCCCAAAAGACACTGTCCCCATGAGGCTAGGGACTGAGGCTGTTGTGGATTGGAGGAGACACTTGATTGCTACATTGAATGAATGGAGAACTTGCAGGTATCCTAGATCAGCACTTTGCCTGCCTCATGCATTCAGTAAAGTGTCAGGCAAGAGATATTCTGGGGGCTGTCCCGGCACAGGGTCTATTTGTCTCAGGCCCTCTGAGAAGAACAGAGAAAAAAAAATGATGATCTTCAGCAAACTTCTCTTTCTTCCCCACTCCTTTCTGCTGGAGCTAGCAGTTCACATTTCTATTCTGGAAGCCTCAGTTCTCACTCCAGAGCAGAGGAGAGCAAAGGGGAACCATACCGATTGCAGTGAAATGAAGTTGCTCAATTTCAGGCTAGAACTCACATAATTAGTCTAGGATAAAGCCAGAGGCTGTCTGGCCCTTGTTTGTTAGATGAAGACTACTAATGTTCAGAGAAATGGAGACATTTGTTCCAGGTCACACAACAAGCTATCAATGAGGTATCTAAGAGTTCAGGTCTGCCAGTTGTAAACTATCTTTGATGTTTAGATTATTATTGTTGCAAGCTTATAAAAGCATGGGTGGGGCAGGGGAAATCATCCTTAGTTACTTTCTCTTCCAGGTGGTCATTTAGACTGAAGGACCTAATAGTCAGAGTCCTATATGCTAAGGTTTGTAGTTGATACATGTATGCATGGCTCCTTTAAGGGGACTAGGCTGGTGCTACGGCTGAGGGTAGGACTGCTGTACTGTGTGTTCCAACTGGGTACCTCTGTTGGGTCTTACAGTTATAGGGAGTTAGGGGACAGTGCCTTGGGGGTGTCTCTCCCTTGCCCTTTCAGTGGCTGAGCCCTTCTCCTCTGTTTCTGCATTCCTTTTCTAAGTTTTCTCACTCCACTTTTGCTCTGAAATACAAGGCTGACAAAGAACACGTCTGGCAAAGGGGGTGGCATGTTCTGATTTCCTCTTTTTTGATAGTACCGGGAATTGAACTTAGGGCCTCATGCATAAGAGCCTAGTACTTTACCACTGAGCTACAGCCCTAACCCTTAGTGGGTGGCAATGCTCTGTATGAACAAAGAACCACAGAGTTCACCCAGCACTGAGGGGCCCAAAGTGTGCAAGGTGCTGAGCTAGTAGTGGCTAACCACCCACTAACACATTAGCTCTAGTGAAGTTCTTGCTCAAGGTTACACAATAAGTTAATAGTGAAGATGGTAACACGAGGGTGATCAGATTCTAGGGTTAAAAGCAAGCAATTGAGTTTACCTTTTCCACAAAACCCTGGTCACTGAACATGCCCTGCTTCCACAAAGCACATGAGAGGGTGCCCCACCTGCCCCAGTCTCACTGTGTACCATCATCACACCACCCCTCTGACTACGCTTCTGTTCTTCAGTTTTTCCTAACAGAGCATATTGGTAGTTGTTTTAGTTAGACAACTGGGAACCAGGTGGAATCAACAGAAATCTGCAGTAGGCTCTGGAAGATGTGGTAAAGAGTAGGTGTTTGCCTCCAGGGAACTTCATGCAATAGAGAGAAAAGAGGCAGAGGCAGGACCTCAGATCCTTTCACTGAAAGCAACTGTAACATTTGTCAAATTACAGATTTGGAAAACATATAGACTGAATAGCACTTCCTGGTTGCACCTCAGTTTTTTTTTTTCCATCCAGGAGGAAGAAGTTCAAGTAGATGGTGCTTTAGAACTTGCATGCTCCAAGTCTGGCCCACATTTAATGGCTGAACATAGATTTCTGAAAAGCCTTGCAAATGAGAAATTTGACAGAAGTACATGATGTACAGCAGGTACTGACTGCTGTGATGATCAGGACACACAGGTGGGAACATATGCCGTGAGTTCAAATTAGAACCTGTGTGGCCCCTTAGCAGTCAGTTGGGAAAGTTCAGGTAAAGAGAGAGAAGTGCCTTGCAAAATGCTACATTTGATTTTTTTACACTCAGGGCCTGAGGGGAGACTCACCGATGCACCCATGATGATAAATATATGTGTATCAGCTTGGTGGAAGGCATCACCCTGGTACAACTCTTCCCTCAGGATGCCACACACCTGGGTCCGGCTCAGGGCCACCTGCTCTGCCATGGTGTTTTCTGGTGGAAGAAAGACTCATTGATAAGGCAGGAGAACAGAAGAGCATTGACAACTTAACCTTATCAGAATCAGAAACTGCTGCTTCTGGGCTCCAGCCATATCCTATGTTGTCTTCTCTGGGGGCTGTACATTACGAAATCTCTATAAGCATTAATGGAATTCAGCTAGGGAATCCACTCTGGGAAAGCGACGCGGTCAGAGCATCGCACTGTGTCTGGGGCCATCGCACTCCAGTCTCTGCCAGAAACGCCACAATGAACTGAGCATCTTTTCATTGTGCAGATGATGGAGTTCAGCCCCAGCTCTCTGCTGGCCAAGCTAAATGATCCCAGAAAGACCCTTCTCTTCTAAAAGTCTAGTCCTCATGGGCCTAATGCGGGGAAGTGCGGGGTACAATGGGATGGGTTAAGACCTCGTAGATCTTTTTCCATATCCAAGCATAACAAATAGCGCTCATCAAAGGGACACGCGGCTCATAAGCGGGAAGCACATCCCTCCACCGGTGTGCTATCAGACCACCCCCTTTACCTGTGTTTAGTTGCTGCTGCCAAACAGGTTTACAGTTCTGGAGTGCACAGCTCGTTTCCGGGGGCTGCGCTTAGCTGGCTCGTTTAACGCAGGAGGGCGGGGGCTTTGTGTGAGCTGCCCCACCTCAGGAGCGGTGAGGGAGGGGAGAGTAGCAGAAGTAGGTGCGCACGCATCCCTTGTCAGCCCCACCCTGTTGGCCGTCCCTGCTTTCCCTGCTCCGCGATCGTGATGCTTTGCTGGCACAGATACAGCTCCGCACAGTTCTCCTGCGTCCCCATCGCGCTACCCCAGCCATACTTTATGGTCTGTTTTCCGATGGACCCTCGAGTCCCTGCGCACTCCTGGATGACCCCACTTCCGTTAGCAGCATAGCCACGCCTCCCCTTGCAATCGGTTTGGCGTCCTTTAGCAGCTTCTTCTAGGCTTTTTCCATGGTAGGGACCTGGTGGCAGAGAGCCCAGTGACAGAACCAGACTAAAACTGGGGTGTTTCATTGCGAATGCGACGCCTTGAAAATGGGGTGGGGACAACTGTGGGCGAGGTGACACACGCCTTTAATTCCAAGCACCCGGGAAGCAGAGGCAGGTAGATCTGGATAGCTAGGAGAGAGACCCTGTATCAAAAAAAAAAAAGTGTGTAAGTGTGTGTGTGTGTGAGTGTGTGTGTGATCTTTATCAGTGAAGAGCGTTGCGCTCTTCGGTTAGCCAATGCAGGCTGGCGGTCTGAGGCTTCTCTTCAGAGTGGGATGCAGCACTATTGTGGCTTCGCAGCTCCAGTTAATCTCCTCGACTTCGAGTCTGTGTTTTACTTCCGGATCCCACACTTACGACACCG